ACAATAACCACCATTTAAGCTGCATTGTGTCATAAACATGGTTGAAACACAATAAGAAATGTTGTTTTTTGGACAATAGAACGTGCAAAGCCTGGACTTACCACACCATTGAACAAATTTCATTCCGTACTAAGGTCTGGGCTTGCTCCATTGAGTACTTGAGAAAGGACAATTAGAGACTGAGGTCTTCAGAAAGTCCACTCACACTGACCAGTACCTGGCCTTTGATTCAAATCATCCGCTACAACACAAACTCGGGGTGATTAGAACGCTTCAACACCGAGCCCACCAGGTCCCCACAAGCTCGGAGGGAAAGAACAGAGAAACCAAACATGTTCAGAGAGCACTTTCCAGATGTGGCTACCCCAAGTGGTCTTTTACTAAAGCCCAAAGGACGAGAAAGGCCAGAGACACAGTCCAACAGACAGAAAAGAGTAGGAGGAGATGGGTGTCCTTACCGTATGTGGCGGGAGTTTCAGAGAAACTACAAAGAATCTTTAGGCAACACAAAATCCCTGGGTATTTCAAACCTTTCAACACGTTAAGTCAGAAATTAGTGCATCCCAAAGACAAAACACCCAGACACAAACAGAGCAATGTGGTGTATTCAATTAAATGTAGTGAAGAGGAGTGCACTGACCACTATATTGGAGAAACTAAACAAACTCTACAGAAACAACTTTACCAACATCGTAGAGAAAACTCTAGTGGGCCACAGTCGGCTGTTCATCTCCACCTCAAGGCCTCCAACCACACGGTGGATGACACAGAGGTTAAAATTCTGGCTCGGGAGAAGAATTGGTTTGAGAGAGGGGTGAAAGAAGCCATTTTTGTGAGGAAACAAAAACCTTCTCTTAACAGAGGAGGAGGGTTAAGATTTGTTTTGCCTCGCATCTATGACGACATCCTAAAAACAACGCCCTAACTTGGGACAAGGTCAGTGACATGCTAATGAGTTAGGGTCGTTAGCCTCAGCAGGGTCGTTAGACCTGCTCCCTTCTACATCCAACAGACCTTAGATTGTTAATGAGTTAGTATCAGGATTAGGGTGTGGCCATCATCTTTGCCAGCAATAATTGACTGGAGTTTACGAATGGCTAAGACCAGGCTAGGACGCACATGTTTCCACAACCTTTTTACGTTCGTCATCTAACAAATAATAGTAATAGTAATAATAATAGGTAGATAGATACTTTTTTGATCCCTCGTCGGAGAAAATCAGGTGTCCAGTAGCAGCAGAAACATAAAGATCCATATATAATTCTAAAAGTAGCTAAAAAAAGATGCAACAGCACAATAATAATAATAATGCAGTGTGTATAATCCGTACCATTATACACCAAACGACAAATTACAAAAATACAGAATAACATGGGTATAAACTATTCAAATTGGAATGGGCATTATGGAGGGGCCAATGTCTACTGGTTGCCTCGCTTCTGTCAGTGTGCCCCAGGGCAGCCGTGGCTACAGTTGTCGTTTATCGCCACTGTGTATGGAGTGAAATTAAATGTCATGTGAGTGTCTAAAAAAGCCCTGTATAAAACCAATGCATTATTAATAAAAGGCCATCTACTGTATAATTTCGTTCTGTTATCTGGGGAGTCACACACACAATATAGAAAGTAATTTAAAATGAAAAATATACCGGCCCTTTAAAGGAAAGACAATAAAACAATAATGAACTCCACGGCGTGAAGGTGTGAATACTGAGCAGTGTTTCTCCAGAGCTTAATCCATCGCTCCGTAAATGCGATAATAGCCTCATTCATCACAGTTTAGCCCCGTAGTCTCTGGCGATGGGGCTAATGCTACAGTCGCTTTTCTCACCTGAACATTTATATGCACCGCCATGTGATACGCTGACGAACGGAGACAGAGGAAGAAGAAGAAAAAAACGCAAGGAGGGCCAATTAAGAAGACTGATGTAGCGCGACAAACTCAATTACGGCCCGTAGGATAATTAGGAATGGGTGAGTCCGGGTGCGGAGGAGAAAATGAGAGGGAAAGGACTCGGAATGTAGTGTTTGGGGAGAAATTACAGAGAAGCAAACTGAGTTATAGCTTAGCCACTGTTCTGGAAATGTGGTGCAATACAGTTTAGTTTTAGTCTTTATTAGAAAGGGACAGAAAAACACGGAGACAAACAGTGCATAGATGTTCTGCACCAGGATATAACGAGACATACAATAATAATGTATTGATTTTTTTGGAGCACTTTTCAGGCACGCTTCACATGTCATTATTCATTCACTCCATACACGGTGGTGATAAACTACTACTGTAGCCACAGCTGCCCTGGGACGCACTGATAGAAGCGAGGCAACCAGTATGTGCCATCGGCCCCTCACACACACACACACACACACACACCAATGGCAATGTGGGTGAAGTGTCTTGCCTAAGGACACAACAACAGTTGGCACTTTACAGCCGCAGCCGTCCCACTGTTGCACCTGGTGTTCCCAGAGGTCTCCCATCACAGTACTAACCAGGCCCTGCCCTGCACAGCTTAGGTATAATTTATACTGAACGCTTAAGCAGAGCTGTACATAAGACAAAAGATTTTCTGTCTACATACAAGCCACACTGGAATACAAGACGCAACTAGGCAAGTCATGTAACAAATCGCCAACAGTAAAAACACAACAAATTATCAATTCTGTGGAGGCTTTTAGCTGGGGCATCAGACGGAGCGGGGTTAAGTGTCTTGCCCAGGGACACAACGACAGAAAACACCAGTGGGAGGAGGGGACATGTGTGGTGGAAGCATCAAACCAAAATTATTAAAGGAGCAGTATGTAAAAATCTGGCCAAAAGTGGTATTGCACGCTCCCTGACTCAGGTTGCCAGATATGCAGATGAATCCAGCTGGGACCATAGTCTCCGAATAGACAAGAGTTTTGTCCATTAAGACAAAGCGATATAAATCCTTGTTTAATTCCTTGTTTTGTCATTCATTATTTGAGAATGATAACAAGACTTTTTTTAAGTTCTGCGGCCACATTTTATTACAGTGAGATTAGCTTGACACGGTGAATTCTGATTTGATTGGTAAAACGGTGGAGGGCCTGACATCAAAATGAAAACAATAACAGAGATTCAGGGGAGCCCTGTAAAAACTAATTCTGAAGTTCGAATATCTCGGGTGAACTACTGTTAAAGAAGTATTCTAAAATAACATGTTTAATTGATGCCTTTGGACAGATTAGGGCCATTTAATGATGATTTGACATGAAAATCTTACATATTTTTACTTAAAGGCCTTACTCTGTGACTTGTATTTTAGTATAGAGTTATTAATCACTTATCTTGTGCTGCCTGCTCCTCATTCTTACTATGTTGTATCTGATATGATGCAACACTGAAATTTCCCCACTGTAGGCATATAAAGGATCTCAAACAAAAAAAATATTGCTTACATAAAATTGGAGATTTTGATGAGGAAGCATCTATCTGATTTCCCTAACCCTAACCCTGATTGTAAAGTCCTTTGGGTAACCTTGGTCTGTAAAATGTGCTATACATATATAAACATTACTTACTTACTTACTCACAAAACAGTAGCTAAATCTAAAGCTAACCCGAGCTGCAGAGATCCATGTGAAAAATGAAACATAAATATAGCATCTGATGTTGGTTCAATGTGAGGATAAACGTGCTTAATAACCTTGTCCAAAAGTGTAAATAACACCACACACAAGAGTGACGTTGGCGCCGTGTGCGAACGTGACGTGCGTTTACTCTGATTAGCGTTGGCCTGTTTCCGTCTGCTGCTGATGCTGCTGCTGCTGCTGCTTGCCGAGGCCTAATTAATCCTGGAAACGCAGCTTTGAAGTCACTACAACCCCACTTCAGCGCGAGCACGGCGAGCAACAGAACCGAGCGAGACGACAGCCGGCGTCAAAACAATGAAAACACAATACTGCACCGTTTCAGACAATATGTGTGTACAACGACGACACAATACTGTACGTAAATGTGCTGCGTTTTAGGGATGATTGGGCGAAGACAAAAAAAAAAAAATTACACTAGAGTCAGGGTTCAATTTGGGGAGGCATAATTTCAGATTAAGATTATGAGATCCTTTTTTCGTCCCACTGCGGGTTTCCCCAGTGTTGCATTACCGGATACAAAATAGTAGGAATTAGGAGCACACAGCACAAGATAAATGAGCAATAACTACATCAAATTAAATAAAATCTCTAACTTTATCATTCAAGAAAAAGTAAAACAAATATTGCTTCTTATTTCACATAAGAAGCAAGAATAAAGTGTCTTGTCTATGAAATGTGCCATACAAATAAACTTCCTTTGCTTTGCCTGTATGGTCTCACATCTGCTCTGTGCAGATGAAGACCATGTTTTCCATACTTAAGTCGAGCCAGGCTTGGTTAGTGCTTGGATGGGAGACCGCAATTTTCAACACATCGTTTGCAACCAAGTACCGGAGCTTAGCTGCAGCCATGACTCAGAGATTACAACTCAGCATGAAAAAAGTACTGCGACTCCTTCTTCTTGAGAGGGCATATAAGAAAGAATTGATGAGCTGAGAGCTAATTCCAAGTAATATGGCTTAACTTTCTCTCATTGAGGTACAGTAGGGGTAAACGTTGTTGGAATTGAAAAAAAAGAGGAGAGTTTTTGCAGCAATCCCAACAAATTTAAAGGAGGAGTATGTACAAATCTGGCCAAAAGTGGTACTGCAACCTCTCCCACTCTCCCTGACTCAGGTTGCCAGATATGCAGATGAATCCAGCTGGGACCATAGACTCTGAATAGACAACAACAAATCTATAAATCTATCTAAACTAACAACTTTTTTCACAAAGGCCCGATAGAAATCATTGTTTTATTCCTTGTTTTGTCATTAATGATTTGAGAATCATGACAAGACCTTTTTTAGTTTTGCGACCACATGTTACTTTACACTGTGGGGGGGGGGTGGGGGGGGGGGGGAGGAGAATCTAAATTTTGATTTTTTATTATTTGTTATTTGTATGGGGTGTAGGGGGGGGAGGTGGGGGGTGGGGGGGGGGTGGGGGGGGGGGGGGGGGGTGGGCGGTGGGGGGGGGGTAGGGCGGGGGGGGGGGGGGGGGGGGCGGGGGGGGGGGGGTGGGGGGGGGGGGGGGGGGGGGGTGGGGGGGGGGGGGTGGGTGTGGGGGGGTGGGGTGGGGGGGTGGGGGGGGGCGGTGGGGGGCGGGGGGGGGGGGGGGGGGGCGGGGGTGGGGGGGGGGGTGGGTTGGACAGGGGGGGGGTGGGGGGGGGGGGGGGGGGGGGGGGGGGGAGGGGGGGGTGGGGAGGGGGGGGTGGGGGGGGGGGGGGGGGTGGAGTGTTGGGGGCGGGGGGGGGGGGGGGGGGGGGGGGAGGGGGGGGGGGGGGGGGTGGGGGGGGGTGGGTTGGGGGGGGGGGGGGGGTGGGGGGGGAGGGGTGGGGGGGGGGGTGGGGGGGGGGTTGAGGAGGGGGGGGGGGGGGGGGGTGGGGGGGGGGGGACAGTTTGGGTTTTTTGGTATTAAAGAGTAAATCAGGTCCCAACACTTGACCTAGTGCGTATCTCTCTCAACATAAACAACATTCCTGGGACAGCCACTTCTAAACTGGACGCAGACACCAAACAGCCACGGGACAAGTGTGAGGTACCACCAAGACCCTAGTCTCCTTACACACAGCTTCTTCATCCCCCAACGGACCAAGAATAGCCACATCATAAAAAAGTCTAAAAATGGGTTGGGGGAGAGATGAACAATACAGAAATTCGATCCAGCATTCACCCATTCCATAAGCATTTAGGAGCGGCAGTCCACCGTCTACCTAAAGCACATCAACGCAGCCACCAGCCGCAGCAGGCTCAACTACACAGTCCCCAACACCCACTCGTTACACTTACACAAATTGCGCCACCTTCCGTAGCCGAGGGTCTTCCCCCACCTCTGTGCACCAAAAAGATTTAACCTCTCCGACCGCCCCCTCGAACACACCTCCAGAGTGACCTGCGCGCCCACCATGTAACTTACAGACCGTGGACTAGACCCCAGTCTCTGTTAGCACCGGCGAAGTAGAGCCCGGCCACGGGAAAGTGTACCGGCCATCCCATCCCACCTTTGCCGTGCCACAGAACAACTGGAAACTGCTTAGACCCACAACTCATCCACTAATGAGCAAATTAACTTTAATAAGCTATCACCCCCCCTCACCTCCCCCAACCCCCGCGCCTATCTGAACCGGTACCCTGGTTTGCGAACTGCACTAACAGACAAACAAACCAGCACCAATCTGGTAACACTTTGCCCCTTGAGCAGAATATTTCTGTAACAGAACGAAATTCCCACCCGCATGCGCCCAGGTCAATTAGGCTATCAGGTCAACACTGTCCATGTACGCTGTAGACATCGGGCTTTTTTTACAAATTCAACTTTCAAATAATTCAATAGATAACATTTGTGACCACTCCCATCCACAACACCCCTCACACCCTAACCTCAGTGGCTTACTAACACCATCTCCTCGCGACGCCCTCCCGCCACCCGACCCTCGAAGTCTACCAACGTCCAACAAATCTCTTTATTCAAACCCCACCGCCAAACGACCCCGCCCCACCCCCCAATTCCCGCTCCGACAATTCTCACGCGACCCAGCCTTATTCACCGCCACCCCCACCCTTATTTACCCTATTCCCCCGTGCAAAACTCTGCGTCCTCGCCAGATTCTAGTTTATCCACAAGATCCACTCAAATGTTCCAAACAAGACACTCACCCTTCCCACCAGGCGAAATGTACCGCATTAACAATGGTCCTGCCCGTCACCCACAAACTCGGCGCCTTGCACGACACCGAAAGACCCACTAACAACGCCGAGGTGTAGAGCTGGGACCTCACGCCGGACGAACCCACCGGAGTTCCAACCACCGCCAGCCCCCGGGGGTACGACCGACCCGCAGCACCACGAGCATACCACGACCCTGTCAGCTCTCCCTAAATGTGGATAGGCACCCAGTCCCATTCCAAAGCCTAGCGAACTACTGATCTTCCGTGATCCAGTACCCGGTGCGATCGTTCAAATACCAAAAACCCCGGCATCCCACCACCACCACACGAGGTTAGCACCGTATCCACTCTGTTACCTCTGTAGCCCCCCCCAACTCCCAAGTCCCCGTCAATGTTAACATTAAACCGTAACAGTATCAAGAATATGTGCCTCGAGCAAGAAAACTCCTGCAAATACGGTACGGAACAACTACAAACCATGGGTAACAAAAGCTGCTATACACCGGGGCACCAGGGCGGGTTTCCCCAATGTACAGACCCTCTGAACCGAGCATACTAACCACACCAAAGCTAACTCTCCTCCCCCTGCCACTAGGTGGGTCATACCGACGCCCCACGCTCACCAAATCTCAGGCTCATATGGACGCCTATACTAGATTCCAACCCCTGTACAACCATGGTCCCCGCTCACTCCCGAATAGTACAGCGGTGATAATCCCGTCCCGTACACCCCAATCACAAATGCCAAAGCTGACTAGATAAACACTGCCAGCCGCACTTGACCAACTTCCACTCTTCCATCACCCGGCGGGGGGCGAACTTCACACAACACCCCCCCTTCCTACCACCCCCGCGAGCGTACCTGCACGACCCACTACCCTCTGGCGGATAGGTAAGCCTTGAACTAATTTTCAGTTAATTTCATAAATTTTGATAAACCCAACACATATTCATCAACATAAACAAAAAACCAGAAACTACAACCGACCCGGACACGCACATCTACAATAATGTGTCGAATTTTCACAGGCAGGCAGGCGCAGTCCAATCCAACCCGGCTTATCCATTAATACCTACCTGTCCCTGGGGTAATTATCTTTCGCCGTGAAGAAACTAAAACCCGCCAACAGCTCAGGCATAGAACGCAAATGACATAATGGAGGCCACCAGATTTGCCGAGCCAAACACACCGGAGCGCCGAAGCTATGCAATGAAACACATTCTGAGCCGAAGGACGTAACTGTGTATTCTTGCGGGCGAACACACTCGCGTTGCCTCATTGGCGCCGCTGCGTCGGCTGGTGCTGCCCAACTCCATGTCCCTGGCCATGGAAGCGACCAGCGTATACAGGCATAATAAAGTAATCTATAATACCGTAGAACAGCTATTAGTGGTGCCACTAAAACATGTTAGGCAATTTTTGCCGCCGTTGTAGGAGTTGTAACAGCAAAAACGCAGTTCTATTTCTAAAAACAAAACGAGTCAACGACGGACGGAAAAACATCATAAACTACCCACCTAGGGGAACAAAAAACCCCAGCTCGCTTCGCAAAAATAAACCGGGAGCCATTTTCCCCACTTTTATATATCACTCTTTTTCTGAAACACCTTGCGTCCACCTTTGTGGTCCCTTCACCCCCCCCCCTTGTACCTAGCAGAGATGCTTAGATGGCACAAACCCCTTTATAATTGACCATGCGTTTACAAATGTTTCGGATATATTTATAGTCTAAAGTAATCGGCACCCGTACACTGCAAAGCAACGCTAGTAACACAACAGAAACCTTAGGCCCATACCCCACGGGACGCCCCCGCCGTCCGAGTGATGCACCCCCGACCGGCAACCAGTGCAAACCCACCCCGGTTCAACACCCACCCGAGACACACAACACGTCCCAGAAACAGTGCCACCATACCCCAATCAATCAACCCAGTCAGAATAAGACCCCCCCCCCCCCCCCGCCCTCCCCCCCCCCCTCCAAATAGGTCTGCTACATAAAAAAATTGATAATGCTAATATTCCTGTTATAGAAAAAAGTACAATTAGATGTGCAGATTGAAAAATGTATAGAACCTAGTTCCATGCTGGTCGTGACTTGTACTTCTACACATTCTAATTCTTCACATATCACCCCAACCCCCACCCATTCAACACCAATAGGACTACAACCACTAAAGCAACTACACCACACCCCCATCACACACCACTAAAAAAAAATTAAATTACAGACCCTTTTACACCTGGTTTGTGTTACATTCCGTTCTCCTTCATAACCTACATTTAGGTTCCGAATACTGATACCATACATACTGTGATACTATTAGATAGATAGATAGATAGACAGACAAACAGACAGACAAAGAGATAGATAGAGATAGATAAATAGAGCGATATATAGATAGACAGAGAGAGACAGACATATAGATAGATAGATAGACAGGCCGATAGAGAGAGAGAGAAAGAGAGAGAGACAGACATATAGACAGACAGACAGAGAGAGAGAGGGAGAGAGATCGAGAGCGAGAGAGAGAGAGACAGAGAGAGAGAGGGAGAGAGATCGAGAGAGAGAGAGAGAGACAGACATATAGACAGACAGACAGAGAGAGACAGACAGAGAGAGAGAGATAGATAGACAGACAGATGCTTTACTGATCTCTGTGGGAGAAATGCAGGGTCCAGCAGCAGAAGCACATCCATCCATCCAAACACACAGGTACATAACATTACTACTACAGTATACTTACTTTTACTACTCCTACTGGAATACATGTAATCGGTAAATAAAAGAACACAACCACAGCGTATCATAAAGTGAATACTCCGAAGATTAAAAATCCCAGGATGAAATGAGGAAATGAGGACCGAGCAGGAGCCGTCCGCAGATGGAGAGCAGCAGGTCTCCTTTGAGTTGAATAAATTACACAAATATGGAATGAACTGATATGAATCTTATCTGACTCACTCCTGTTCACCAAGCATGAGCTGAAGTACATTTCCTCCCGGACGATTATTTCAACGAGCATTTAATAAACTCCCCCGACAGCAGCGGAAACAAGATACGTCATTTAAACCTCACTTGAATTTGCAGTTTAAAGCTCGGGTCTCTGACTTTTTTAATTTTTTATTCAGACCACAACATTAGACCACAACTTTGCATACTTGTATCAAAGAGCCAGTGTGAGTCCCTGATTGACTTTTTGTTCTGAGAGCTGATTGGCTGAGTGAGGGTAGTCCTTTCTTTTTTTTACTTTTATTTCTAAAAAATCTGAACTAAAGATTGGACAGAAGCCAAAAATATATGAATGTGAAAACTGAAACCAAATTTGCCGAATCTCTCTTTTCAGGGAGGTGGGAGCGAGGTCAGGGAGGGTGTTATGGGAGACTATTCTACACGTTTATATTGGTAGGGCAAACCGGAGCACGCAGAGGAAACCTAAAAGCAGGTAAAGGGAGAACATGCAAACTCCAAAAATAGAAAGGTCTGTAAGTGGAACTGAACCCAGGACCTTATGACCATTTATGGACATGTATCAACGTCATCTGCCCCCTATCTAATCTAATCTAATGATAGATTATTACTATTGTTAACTTTTTAGAATTCTCTTTTTTTTTTTTTTTTTGCTGCCACTAGACACCTGAATTTCTCCTTCGGGGATCAATAAAGTATCCATCCATCCATCCATCCATCCGTCCATCCACCCATCCACCCATCCATCTATCCAACAGCTCTACTGTATGTGTTTTTTTATCAATGCATTTCTTGTGGCAAATTTGACGTTTTGTAAAGTCCTCCGATAACTGTTGTTTGATTTAGGATTATACAAGATTAAATTAATAAAATTGGATTGACCTTCTTGCTATGAAGTACAAGCTCTCACCACCGCGCCTCCAGAGCCAGGAGCAACAAGATACATGATTTCTAACACATACAGATCATTCCGTGGTTGATTTTGACATGGTGGTGTGAAAATCAGGTACCCCAGCTTTAACACCCAGCTTTTAACCTCTGAAATCACACGAGCAGCTTCCTGATATAAACACGGTTGCGCAGGACCCTCACGCTCCATTGACGCTAACTGTCCAGATCGGATCAAACTCGACGTGTGTCTTTCCGTCTTTTCAGCCTCCTCCGCCCGCCCGCCGTCGCCATGGAAACCTGCACCCCCTCCTGCCGCCTGGAGCAGGCAAAGCGTCTGGGGAGAGTGTGTGTCTGGCTCTGACATGTTTTAAACACACACAGAGCAATAATATGTAACAGCAGACACGCGCTGAGGGACAGGACCGGCGAGCAGATTACACACCGATATGAGGAGGCGAAAAACACACAGTCCCCGTGTTTTCTCCATGGGCATAAAACAGTAAGATTATTGAAGTGGACAGACAATAAAAATGTAAAAATGTAGTGTTATTATTACACTGCAAAAAGTGCTGAAATAATAAGTCAAAAAGTGCACGAATTTGGCTAAATTTATCTTAACTTGAGCACACTTTGACTGCCTTAAAACAAAATTTGCCAATGGAACAAGAAAAAATCATGAAATAAGACGCAGTGGCTTTGTCCCATTCAAAAATCTTGTTATAATACAGTCAGAACGTACTCAAATTAGGACAAATATCAAATCGATACAAGCAATTATTACCTCATTTTATAATTTTTTTCAGTGTAAGGCTGGGGTCAAACTTTTTCTTTTTTAAATTTAGTTGAATATTTTATCAGTACTCAACTTTTTTCTGCGTCTGATAATAAGCCAAAAAGGGAAGCAGGAAATCAATGCACCAATTTTCAGAAAGGACACATTCTGACTTTATTATGACACTTTATCTCAGGTACGGTGGCAAAGCGTTTTACAATTTCATCATGTCTACAACCGCAAACAAAGATTTATTTAGAATTTTATCTATTTTTACACCGCAATTGTGCTTCACAGCTAGAAGGTCCTGGGTTTCTGATCAGCGCTTTCCTCGTTCGTCTTGTTAGTTTGGGTGTATACGGCCGTGTCTTGGTAATTTAATTTTCCATGACTTTTTCCATGACAGAATAATGGATTGAACAGTGCTCCCGCGAGATGATCAAAGCTCGGGACATCTTTGTAAACGTAACACTGCTTTAAACTGCTTCACGACTACAACCCTGACCTCTGGGGGGTTCCTTGGACTTCATGATATTGTTTAGTGACCAATAAACTCTAAACACAGCGCTGAAACCACTGCAAAAAAGAGTGAAAAATACGTCAAAACATTTTCAAATTTGGATAAATGCATCTTAATTTATAGCATATTTTGATTGCATTTTGTGTGGTTTAATGAAAGTAAAAAGGACACGATAAAAACAAGCATTTGCAAATGGAGAAAGCTTCTGCAGTCCGCTCCTTGGACCCTGCATCAGTCTCTCTCCCACACAATGGGATTCAGAGAAGCTTTATCATGATGGTCCGGTCCCTCATTGGCCAATGGCCACAGGAATAACACATGTCACAACTCTGCACTGATTACAAGAAAATAGGTAACTCAAGGTATGAAAAGCAGAGGAACAAGGGGGGTTAAGGAGGTTGAAAGGACAGGGGCAGAGGACACAGGAACAGGACGCTCCAAGATCACCTCATCCATATGATCAGGGAAACAGTCAAAGGATCAAAGGAGATGGTCAATCACTGTCTAATAACTAAACCCACAAACTGCATCTTAACTTACTCAAACATCACCCCAAATACCATCCTGCCATAAAACAAAACCCTCTGAACCATTTGTTAATCAGCACAATTCACCCACTATGCTTAAACCATGTTCATGTAATTTTTGCCATCACACTTGAAACAAGACTTGACAATGGGACAAGCTAAACGGTCTTGTTATAAAAAGATACAAGAAATGGAACGAGAAAATAAAGCAACAGTTATTGAAATAAGACTAAATTGCTTTGTCCTGTCGGCAAAACTTGTTTTTAGACAGGAAGTACTCAAGTTAATACAAAAAAACACTTGATTCAAGCAATTATTTCCACATATTTTACCATTTTTTGTAGTGTAGAGATGCCTTAAGAGACTAAGAAATAGTCTTCAGAAGTAATTAGACATTTTCCAAAAGCAAAGTTATGCACTGTTAAAACAAAATCTAAAAAGTTGTGTGAATCCATGTTTAAGAAACAAAGGCACGTATAATTTAGCTTTTACTTTGTTGTGGTCGTAGGCATGACAACATTTATGAAAGTTCAAGCTCTACTTGTACTCTTTGAAGACGCTGTCCATTCGTATATACACTTATGAAATATTCAAATGGCAATATACAGTATAATAATGATGGGGGTTTGCATGTTATCTTCATCTACTTG